GGGTTTTTCGGAACTGTAGCCTTAGAAATCTGCAGCGAACAAGAGTCGACGAAATGAAAATTACAAAAGTAATTGGCAATAGCGGACAACCGCCTCTTTCTGTTGAAGAATCCAAGAGAGCAAAGCGGAGAGAACGAGGCTTTTGTTGACAATGCTTGAGCCAAAGATTACTACCATTTAAAAAAAAGTTCTCATCTGATCGTACAATGTTTCTATGAAAAACATTTACCAAAATTTATCCAGCCTTAGAAGTGGAAAGGTAAATTCAGTGTTACAAAATTACTTTGAAATGCTTGCAAAATTTAGCGACTCCCAGAATTTGCAAGCTGAAATCCCAATATTCCCATTTTTTGCTCTTCCAGTCTTCCTCCTTCCATGTTTAGCTGTCAGGGCATATCCCAGATTTTTGTCTACTTAATCAAAATCTGCAAATCTATCACCGATCCCACAATTTTTCAATCGTGTCCAATACGTTTCTCACTCAAGTTTTTTGACCAGTTTTCTATTCTCATAATTCTCCGGACCGTGGCCGGAACATTATTCAGCAAATTTTGTGAGCAGAATCTTATGGAATTCCTTCCTGAGTCCAGAGCACTGAGTTGGAAAAAAAGTTGCTATGATTTTTCAGAAGTTCACACATAATGATTTGCAAGTAAAAGCGTGTTTATCTAATTAAACATACACCCCGGGTTAAATTATTATCCATAATTTATCAACAACACTGATTACGAGAGCCCTTAACAAGTTGTTGAATCAGCGCTAGTCGTTTTCTATAACTAAATTCGAAAAACTGACGAACACGTAAATGAAAGGCAATTTTGACACATGGTAGGAAGCTGTCTCTATTTGTTCTTACTTGGAAGACAGGTTTGGTGAAAAGAAACGCAGAACTTTCTTTTCAAAGATCGGGTGAAGATAACAGAACAATGGCGACGCTCTATTACGCGTATGTAGCGAATTAGGCCAGTTTTCATCACCCGATAAAAACATTATTCACTTTCTCCTTCATTCTTCATGCTTATGCTTAGTTGTACCACAAGTCGTGAGCCTCAACAAAGCGCCAAAGATAGGCACCGTACTCAAACCGCAAACGAATTCACCGGTTGAAGCAGGCGCACGCTAAACAACGGGCATTTGGCGTCTGGTGTCGCACAGGAGACACAGAAAGGCCAATACGTTGAATGCCATTTGTTGCAGGCCGCTGTCCTCATCTGCTCTTGTTATGTATAATTTTTGTCAAATGCCCGTCATTTAGTTGCACCACTACCGTTCAGCCGATTCTGAACCGGTTTGTAGGGTAAGTATGGCGTTTGTCAAAAACTAAAAATCTCCAAACATTGCCTTGCACTCAGTGAGAGTTCCACATATCCTTACAACATTCAGTGCCGAAGGAAGTCCTCTCAAATGCATCTCGCGCGTTGCAATTACCTTGGATTAGTTCCAAAGCTCTCTATGCGTTATTAACATAGTCACGACAATATTTACCTTCGATTTGGGACTATGTTCCCAGAACGAGGGGCATTGACACAGTAGCTCCCACAGCTCCCATCCAGTACACCTTGGCTGACTTGACTAACATCGTATACATAACAGAATAATCATCTGTATGGTAAGTGTGTGTAAATACACAAACGAGTCACGCTGTAACCTAAGGTGTGTGTGGTTACACGCAACATGCACATCGGTCGCGTCACGTATCGTCTGCGAACTATGCAGAAAGGATCTGTGTATTCTCTGTTCTTTCCGCTTGATCTTTACGGCAACAGCTTGTGCGCGCGTAAGCAGCGCGGAACTTCTGCGCTGCGTGTGCGCGACCTCACGAACTGCTTCTGACTGGTGTAAACTGTATAAAGACACCCGTTTCTTAGGCTGCCAGCCGTTTATTAGGCTACGTTCAAGTAGTCCGTGTAACGGAATAATGGCAGCGTCGTGCCAGCCGAAATTGCAGGCGTGCAGGCCCCGCATTGATCGGCGAACGTTTAGGCGCGGCGCTAGCACGGCGACGGTGTCGCGCTGGCACGGTGCTGGCAAGAAGAACTCTGCGCAGCCTTTTGAGCAATCTATAATTCATTTATAAAACCGTGACGACGGATTTGACTATGGTCTTTGCGCACACAAGAGCATAAAACGCTCATATATAAAGGCATCACCTCAAAGCTTAGCTCAGTCACTTCCAGTGTTTAAATAGTATTATAGGTAAGCAGAAAAACCTTCGAGTAGGGATAAAAACCAAGAAAATGCGACTACAGAGATTGCGTGCGTGTCGCGCGCGGTAGCGCCATCGTCACGATTTCCCGAGTGCACTATAGCTCGCCCGAACTAGATGTTACACCGGTTTACACAAGGTGCGTAACAAGGATAGTAGAGCATGTTCCAGTGGCTCAATACAGAGCGACTGTCCCATTGGGCTGCCCGCAATTCTTGTTGCCTAGATCTTGGGCAAATTTCCAGAGAAAAATACGGTCATCTAGCCACCACCAGTTACGAGAACCTGTTTAGCACTGGGCAACGAGATATAGTATCAAGAGCAAACTTCAAATCTTCTCTCCCCCCCCCCCCCCCCCCCCGCTGCGAGCTAGTACGTTCGTATCATGAGCAGTACTATTGATAAAACGTCCGAATTAGTGCAAATGCACTACTGGCCAGAATCGAATTAACAAGTACGGATGCGACGCAACGCGTGGTGTGTGCATTGTACTCGTGGCGCACACGTCATTCTGAGGTTGTACGCAATTTGTAACCGACCTCTCGTCTCCGAAAAACTGGCCCCCAGTTCGTACCTCATTAGGGCCAATTCGGCTCAGTAGCATCCCCCACGTGACTAATGCATTTCATCATCCAAATGCGCGGCTATGACTCACCAGCCAGTCCAAACGTACTCAACGCGCACGTCACACCATTAACGGATGCTTCGAGGGGGGGGGTGCGCATCGCATTTTCCCACAGGCGTTCGGGGGCGTGTTCGGAGCGGCTTGCACCCACCTTGAGAAATTCCAACCGCTCTCAATGCCAGTTGCTGTGCGTCCGTTAATATCGATCCGTGTGGGGGGCAGGCGTCCTGTCGAGTCGGCGGCCAAAGCCTGTTCCGCTCCTCTTCTCGTCCTCGTCCCCCCTGTTGTGTTGAGCCCCAGTTCCCCGTCCTCGAAACCATCGTCGTCATCAACACCAATTCCCATCTCAGCTCGAGACAGCCAGCCCCCACCCCCACGAGATGTCCGCTTCCGCATTGCACATCCGCGACTTTTTTCCGTTTCAATCATGAAAGTCGCGCTTGTTCCGCGTTTTTGATTGCTTACATATACATCCCTAATTTTTTTATCTTCCTTGTTCTAATATTCCAGTCTTTTACCCTTTAACTTCAACATAATCATCATTCAGAACCGTCTAGGCAAGAAACAAAACGGATAACCTTTTTGTTTTTGTTTTTATGTTTTCCTTGTCCTTAATCATCTAGTATTCGTCTAAGGGTAGGAACAAAAACGGATAGCTTTTTCTGTTTTTAGTTTTTCACTAATCTGTTACATTCTTGCCATCCTTGCTCTAGTTACTCAAATTTTATAATTGGCAAAGGAAATTACATAGCACTTCATATTTCTACATCAAGGCGTTACACGAAGGTTTTATCATCCGTCCAAGGGTAAGAATAAAACGACTAATCTTTTTGTTCTGTTTTAGGTCTCCACTAATTTGTTATCTTATCAACTTTGTCATCTTGTTCTAATTACGGAGGTTTTCTAATTGATAGAGGAAATTATCTAGCACTTCATTTCTCCGCATCAAGGGATTGAACGGAGCTTTCTTCTGGCATATTTCGTTCTCATTTTTGTTTACTACTTCACATTTGGATTTTTTGTCCAAAATTTTCATTTGGATTATATAGGAATTTTATAACACCTTCCTCTGATTTCATTCTTTATTACATTTTCAGCTTGAGTTAAGCTATAGTTTTCAGTTACATTCTGCACTCATGACGAATTTTCGAGCTTGATTTATCGCATTTGTGACGCTAAATTCTTATGGAAATGTTTGCAAAAAGCTTATCTAGTTGAACATCTCAGCATCCCATCACTTTTCTCAGCAGTTTTTTTCCTCCCGCCTTCCCGCTTCTCTATGTTTATGAATTCCAGCCATTTATTCATTGAGAATACAATTTCCCGAAGTCACTGCGGAGGCGTTCCATTTCATGCGGAGCAATTCTTTACAACGGTTTTCCTGTTGTCGTCGAATTCAAATTAGTTTGTTTTCGAGTTAATGCGCTTCGTAAGTGTTCCACTTGTCATTCCATAGCATCCACTTATCATGTTGTCGATAACAAACTGTTTCGCGAAGCTTTCGTACTGTTATCAGCACGTACTACTCTGAAAAATTTATTAGTGCATCAATTTCCACTATTTTTTTTGAACAAGTCTGACGCTTCTGTTTTGATCGTTTTATAATAAAACTTTTCAGTTGCTTTTCGAACTTTCGGTTATAAAATGCGTATTCAACTCAATTCTTGGAAATAGGGAACACTGAAGGCATGTGATCGATAAAATTATCGTGGGCTCATGAGATTGTTGCGTTGTGGTTTGCAGCAGAAGATTAGAATTTAATCTCAAATCTCTGCCTCAGATTCATCATTGAACCGCAAAAGCTTTAATATGAAGCAGGAATCTATTTGAGAACATTCTTAAAAGTCCAAAGAGCTTCGCGCACTTTTTCAGATCTAATTCCGTCTGCGGAATTTTGATTCGACGTCTTGCTTATGATTTATTGGTCCTTTAGAGTGCAACTTCGTCAAAGCTGCCCTAGCCCTAGCTGTACTTATTTTTCAATAAGTCCCTGCCGCCTGAAACTCTTATATTACGAGAAGAAATGCACCCCATTGCATCTTTTTTTTCGATTTGTTTCTATTCAAAGTTGGCGAGTGTATGTAAACAAAAACGATTATGTGTATACTTGAATACCGTACCATGAGCACCTCTTCAGCGGAGAGAAATTGCAGTCATTGAATTACAGAATTCATATCTCTCTTGATGACGCACTTTTATGATTCACTATTGACATTCGAGACCTGGCAGCCACGTTGATTTTCAGTTTATTGCGATGACATATCCGGCAAAGTTTATATGGTTGAGCTAAAGTGCTATTTTATATGGCATAAGTTTATTGTTTCAGCATTTTGCATTTCGTTTTTCGCTATAAAACTTTCTGCATGAGTTTTGTCATCGAAGAATTTACATATTCTTTTTTGCGTTCTTGCAGTTTCTCCATTCTAATCGCTGTGTTTTGAAATAGTTGTTTCTGTAGAATTCTGCAAAGTTCTTTTCTCTTTTGCAGTGAATTTCAGCTGTTAATTTCATGTTATTTCATCATCCCATCATTTCATGCAGTCGTTACTCCATCATCATCAGTCACTGGAAACTTTCTTTTCATCGGTCACAATACGATGACTGATGTCTCTTACATATAGTACTAGTTTTTCAGTGTGCTTGGAAACATTTCGGCAGTAATCGCCCCTATTTCGCGTGTGTGGACCGGCGAACCATGGCACGCGTTCCTGTCAGACTCAATGTTTATGATATGGTAAGCTACTTTATAAATTTGAATTTGTTCGTTGAAAATTTGATCACCAATTTGACCATTTTTATACTGATTGTGTTTGCTCTTAGGATCATTGCTTCTTTTTGGCTAAACAGAAAGAATGAGCAATAAATAAGTCACGTTTTGTATATGCAGCTGCGCTTGAATTTATGTAAATGATCGTAGCTCATCAAGCTTCCTTTTCGGCATGTTTACACATATGCGCGCAACTTTTGGCGTTTTGTCGCGTGGGAATAGTTCAACATGAGCTCAATCATGTATTAATTTTTTATGCGAACAATTTTGAAAACATTGGAGGGACTTAAATATAGTACCTTTACCAACTTTTTTGCGCGCCATTCAAAAAGTAGCTCAGATAGACCCCGTAAAAAATATGTAAGCTGAGAAGGCTCGAATAAGCCGCAAAAGTTTATTTTAACCAGCTTGGCGTTATGTGTCATTTTATAAATTGTTTACATGTATATGTCACATCCTCGGTGGCAGCATGTTTTTACAATCAACTGACTGGATTCCAAACAACCAGAGTGCTTCAATTCTCTCAAAACCATCCTTGTTACGTAGTGTATCCTGTGTTTGTCAATCCTCCTAGCCCGTGAAAGACGCCAGCTTGGCCGGTCAACCGGTCGCACCGCGGAGTTCTTTCGCATAGCTCAGCAAATAGAGAACTAGTTCTGTGCAGGATTCAATCGGGCATCCAAAAGCCTTTTCTCTAGAGATTGTAACGTTTCGGAGCAATTTGTATAGTTGGTTTGGGGAGATTTCATTCAAGAAGGCCTACTCAGAAATAAAGATATAACAACATAAATGTTCAGTAAGATATACATAATCATACAATAATAAAGTGCTCCCACTATATTACAAGGTATGTCTATGTTTTATTTCAGTACTGGTTGAATGATTACGCGTCAAATATAGGATTTGGAATTTTTCACTCTGGCATTGAAGTTTATGGAGTTGGTGAGTTTTTTTTTGTTTTTTTTTTTCAGTTTTACCTTGCGTCATGTTGTCAAATGCATCCGTTATTAGAATACGCTTACGGTGGGCATCCATACGCATTCTCCGGAGTTTTCGAGAATTCACCACAAGATGCTGAAGAACTAGGGGAGAATTTTAAATTCAAGTGAGTGTTTTGGACGGCTTCTGATTTTCTGCAAGAACGTTAGAACAGTTTGTATTGTAATGTTTGCTATTCTATCTCCACTGTTTTTTGCTTCCATATTATTCGCTCCATATTCATAAGCGACCGGTGTGCTGGCGTTACATATGGCATAAAACAAGTTTTCTCGCAATGTTTATTGCTGCTTTTTGAATTCGTATGACATGCATATTAACGTCAGTGACGTATTCAGGCAATCGATAGTGATAGGAGAAACTACAATCACAGCAGCTGGAGTTCGGGAGTTGATCAAAGCACTAGGCCAGGAGTATCGTGGAGATCGCTATCACCTTATATCACGAAATTGCAATCATTTTAGCGCTGTTTTAGCTAAAGTAAGTCAGATTCCCAAACTAGTGTTCTAAGTTTAATGCCGCTAAATCAGGCTCTTACGGGTAACGATATTCCTTCATGGATTAATCGACTTGCAACTCTCAGCGGATCCATTCCTTTTCTAGAAAGAGTGAGTCAGTTTACTCTTGGTAGTGGTGGCAACTTGTTTTGGCCCCGAAAGGACGCATTTGATGTAATTTGTTCAGTGTCTGCCGCAAGAATGGCTTACTCCCGTTGCTTTGCAACAGTCTTTGGATGAGCAGCGAAACGTGGAAGGCTCACGTAGGACTTGCGCTGAGGCGCAGAAAAGATTATCAATAGATTCAGCCGAAGATGCTCTAGACGCCAAATTGAATGGTTGGTTTTGTGGACTTAATATTCCTCACATTCATTTGCTTTTTATACTCCGGTCTTTGATTTTTACAACTTTGCGGGTTTGCTATGTGTCCCTTTTGCAGTGGCAAACGTTAATTTAAAGGCAGCGTCCAGGCAGATCTGGACCTATGGGGCTTTTACGTGGAAAGTATTTTTGGGGCCCTAACTAAGGCAGTACCCAAGCGGCAGCTCATGTAGTGCTCTAATGGCTGAGATATTCCCCTCGAAACTGGCCCCCGCGAACGTATTCGCATGGATTCATGGCAGTTTCCCGCCAGGATCCACGCTTTGCGCCATGAATCCATGCGAAACACGGTCGCGGGGGCCAGTTTCGAGGGGAATATCTCAGCCATTAGAGCACTAAATGAGCTGCCGCTTGGGCAGTGCCTAAGTTAGGGCCCCAAAAGTACTTTCCACGTAAAAGCCACATAGGTCCAGATCTGCCTGGACGCTGCCTTTAACGTCATGTCTTTTACATATATCGACATTTTGTAGACTCGCGTGCTACAGTGGTATCTGCACGAGGATTTGTATGTGCTGAGGGGTCGTCACCACCCTCATCCGGACCAGACAGTCGATCAGGTTCACCACCATCTATCCAACGGATATGGGCACAAATTAAATCCACAATGGCTGGTGACATTCGACCTTGATTTATCTGGATTTCACTTATTGATTATGGCATGTCAATTCAGAAGGTGAGAGATACTCAATTTTTAGTCTTCTTGTTTTGTTGTCTTTTTATTTTCATCTCAAGTTAGCTATTTGATTATCAGAGGCCTTCGTTCAAGTGGCTGCTTAAACCGAATATCTTTCCGCGTTCGCTCCAGTGTCTCAGGCCAACGTGAAGTTGTTCTCCTGCCTTGCAGCGACATGTCCTGTACAGTTATTGATAGCTGTTAATTTCGCTATGTTACTTGTATCATCTCTTTTTAGACCTCGCTGTTTCGCTTCGCTTAAGTGCGAAGAAAGTCGTAAGTACTGATATGACCTCTGTAATGTTGCCTGTATCATGCTGTTCTGATTGCCTACAAACATGTCTTCCACTTCTCGAGTCCTTTTAATTTTGATTAGTCATTCTGAGTACTGCTGCTGAGTGATATATTTATGCTTGATGTTTCCTTCCGCTACTCAGTTGCTCTTGCCTTCAGATGTCAGTCGAGGGTAGTTTTTCACGGCACATTTTGCTTATCAAAACTGCTTCAGGTGTACTCTTCCTTTTCATTAAATGTCTAGTGAATTATGTAATTTATATCAGAAGTCTTCCGTCATTGATCATCGTGTCTACTTCAACATTGTCACTTTTATATTGCCTTATTCATTGGGAAATAAATTTCTCCGCATATGCACTTGTTTACATTATATATTAGGCTGGAAACTAAGTTTTGCAACTGGTTTTATAACTTCACTCTCTTTGGATATGGCGCACTCAAACTTTGGCATTATGTAGAAGGCAATGTGAGCTACAAGTGAGCGCAAATTGTTTAAATTTTGAACACGAAGTAGAAACGTTTTAGGCGTTTTTCGAAAACCAGTGAAATTTGAGAATTTTTGGGATTTCAAGCTAAAATGGAGCCTTTGGCAGCCTAGACCATGCGCAGTAATCCGGTTTTGTCTACAAATTATTGCTGGAGGTTGACTCCTTTGGCTTATTAAGAAAGAACCAAAATATAGGGGCATGTCGAGATTTGGCGTCCTCACAAAGTCGAACGAGTCGATGTACGCAAGAGCCGCTGGAGACGACCGTCAATGACCAAAGAGTCTGAAGCTCAAATTCCGCCGAGACTTTAAATAGTAAGGTTATTTGATCTGCCAAACGCGAATATCACATTCATTTGTTGAATCAACGCCTTTTTCCTTGTTTAGGGTGAGACCCCATATCGTACACTTACAGTAATCCTACAAAAAAGCCCTTATTACGCTATTTCATTATCGTTTTCGTGATCAGCATGTCGGATAACACCCCTATGCGAAGTTTCAGCCAAATCCGTCAAACTTTGAATTTTTCCCCTTCATACCATACACCTACCGTAACCCTCACTGCGACATCAAAATTTGATAGGACAGCAGCTGCGCTTGTAGCTTACGTAATAACCAACGCAATTGCAAAATTTGAGTGCGCCATGTTGAGTGAGATGGAAGTTTTAGACCAGTTGCAAAACTTAGTTTCCAACCTAATACTTTTTACTTGAAATTTTGCAAAAAAGTGCTCTTTTGGGTTCTCAGAGGTTCATCCTTTTTGACTGCCTGATCAGTTGTTGAGCAGATGCTCAGAAAATGTTTAGCAAATGTGTATCAGGGGCAAGCTTTGAGCAGGCTAGCATTCCTAAGACACACTTATTCGTCGCTGAAAATCGCCATCGGTCTTGGATTAGACAAATGGTGCGCTGCAGATATATCGCGCCAAAGTGACGATATATTCTTCATGTGAGCAGTAAATCATGCTCGAGGAAGAGCGAAGCATTGAAGAATGGTGATGGAGTTGTTCGCTAAAAGCTATAATTGAAAAAGTATTCTGCAGAAGCAGTGCAGACTTTATTGCTTGCAGCTGTAATCTTAAAGGGCGATTAGGAATCATATGTGTAGACAGGTTGTAATTTTAAGAGACAAATTGAGATCAGTCGTTTCCGCAAATACGGTCAGTACTTGACTTGAGTTGTATTATTTATTGGATTCCTGAATCTCCTTTGAAGATTTATCCATCAAGGCTAGTTAATTCGGCAGGTGAATTGTTGCACACTCCTGGCTGGTATTTCCACGTTTCATCGGGAGAAAAAGGTTACCCTTACGCACTGAGTTCATTCTCCTCCGTTACAGTATCAATGGGATTGCGGAGCTGATGACAAGTGAGGTACTCTTGTTTCAGTGGATAGTTTGGATAATTTCAGTGGAGCTATAGAAATCAGTGGAACGCCACTGTCGATAATTCTGAGCGGTAACAGGCGAGACCAGATGGAAGGTAGTTTGCCATTAGAAAGCATAAATGAATAAAAACAATGATCAAATTTTGATAGAATAAGAAGCCCACACCTCACTGTTCGAATCTTTTGTACAATGTGGAGCTCATTTAACTACGCAAACGATCCCTGTCATATAGTCTCAACATATGAGCTATCAAATCTGCTCGGGTACGACTGATGTGAGAACTAATCCGAACGGGCGCGTCATCGCACATGTTTTGAGAGAGTTTATTTTACATAGTATTTTGTAAACAATGTTGCATAATACAGCCCAAATCCGGTGCCATATCATTGCTTGTGAGTTGCAAACAAGCCCCTTGTTTATATGCCACTATAATTTGATATGTATAATTGGAAGTTTAGTAGGCCAACGAGGTTGATAGAACTTATCAGTATGGCGGCCTAACGCTTCGATCAGTAATCCTCTTCAAAATTAAGAGTGGTAGGGGATTCTAGAATTATGTTTACCTCATCAACCTCCTGCACCCTAGCCAGCCTCGAAATCAGCGCTGCAACCAATGCATTTCTGACAGTATCCACAGAAGGTAACAAGAGCATGAGTTACAACCAGACTTGGCAAGAAAGTCAAGACTGAAAAATCCTCACACTTTGCTAAAAAACTTAAAATAATACAGATCTGGGATCAGCCTCAAAGGCCCATTCCTTTGTTTGGCATAAAGGTATAGTTGATTCGTGACCGCACGGACTCGACATCACTGCGGAGCACGCTCCGCAAGGTAAAACGCTTGCCCCAGTACATCTATCATCTATTCTATGACTAGGAAACGCGAGACCGCATTACGGGCATTGTCTTAACAAGTTTGTGTTTGTTCTTCCCTATTTCCAAAGAGTGAATAAACCCAGACGAGATAAGTATTAGGTATAAACCTGCTAAGTACACGATTAAGCTTGTTTGGACAATGTGTGCAATGCGGTCTCGGGTTTCCTGGTCCTAGAATTACACCGTTGTACAAGTGGTGCTCTCGGACAATTCACCCGCGCCGCGCATGGTCCGCAGCGTTTAACAGTCCGTGCGGTCAACGAATCGACGATAAATTCTTAGAAAATGCAGACATTTCCTGGACAACTACAGAACATGAATTATGTATTACTTGACATCCACTTGACAATACTCTACTTAGTCAGATGGCCTGTCTTCTGCCAGGTGGACGCCAGCAAAGGATTAATGTTTCTGTGACTCGCTCGCAGCATCCACGAAGTCCTATCGGTCGCCGGTGGCTGCTTTCAAGAAACTCAACCCATAAATCGTACCAGCTCCTTCCTAGCTGTTCTCTTGTAGCGAACAATGTGCTTGTCTCGCTGTATACGCTAGTTCTATTCACGTTAGGGTTCTAGACGTCCACACTTGCCTTCGGTTATTCTCATCATGTGACCGACTCATCGGTTATTCAAAGATGTACAGGGCAGTGGCGTACCGGGGAGGGGCGGGACGTGGCTACCGCCACGCCCACTTTTTCTGGAATTTTAGGGTCAGGGGCCCGGGAAAAATTTCGGAAACATCCCAAAAAATTTTTCGGAGTGCGTGGCTGACCCCACGCACCTTCATTAGAAAAAAATTTTTGTCGCCCCCCCCCCCCCCCGAGCCGAAATCCTGGGTACGCCACTGGTACAGGGTGTCCCAAAAGTATGTTACACTGTTTGATCGTTGGTATCTCTCTTCCGAAGAACCTTTTGCCCAGCTTCAAAGACTATCTTGTAGGACTGGCTTTAATTTAGATTCACACTATAGAGCGAATAACCGAGTGCTCTTCTTCACTGTATTATTACGATAGGAACTATGAGAAGTTTTTGAGCCGTTGAGGGCCCTATTCCGCCTCAAAACGCAAACCAAGCAAGTCGAAACCTTTTACACTAGGCTAATAAGAGCAGCCAAAACCAGGTATGAAAACTGCATTTTACCGCAATGCTTCCTTCATAAGTTACGCCAAGTAAAAGGCAATAGCTGCTTCTACAATGTTCTCTGAAACTGTGATTACACCGTCTCAAAAGCCTTACAACCTTCGAAGTTAAGTAATGAAATCAGCACGCATGAAAACCCTGGTACGCCACTTTCCAGATCTTTTGGGAGCTTTCTCAAAAAAAAGATCAATTTACAAAGATGTTGCAACTTGGAAGTTTTTACCGTAATCCTACAGTAGTGAAAAGCGATTGGTGATTCGCTCTATATTGTAAACTAGCGACCCTACGGGTCGCTAGCAAGTGGGTGGGGGCAGATACAATATAAGGGCTTAGTTGTGATTATAAATATCCTACTATAATAACGCGCTAAGGCCGTCTGTTTTTTTGTGTGTCTGTCTGTGTGTCTGTGTGAAAATCTGTCTGTCACGAAATTCGTAGAGCGTGTTCCAGCCAACGTCCTGAGCCCAAATTTTGCATAGCGCACGCTACCAACGTGAAAGCTCACTATACAAAAGCATGAGCGGATTCGTTGAGTGGATCCTTTGAAATTGCGCGTCAAACGGATCCACTTAGCTTCTGGCCAGCAAATTTGGGCCGAAAGTACTACTTTTTGCAAAGTTTAGAATATATTTGACAAGCTAATGTGCAAACCATGGACGTTAGCCTAAAAAAATAATGAAAAGTCTACTACTTTACGAAAATAGCGCCAAAAAGCATTCGCTGTGTAAACGGTCAATTTTTCAAGATTTTACCTAATCATCTGAGAAGATTTTTGCTCAGAGATGTAGCGCACTATGTTTACTATCCTTATGGCGACTACCAAGCCATAAAAATTCCAAAAACGTATCCAAATTTGCATCTGTTCTTCTGGGAAAGATTTTATCCACGCGAAAATACCGATCTCACATGGAAAACCTCTACGAATGAGTAGTTGTTTACGAATTATTCGTGATAGCCTACATAGCGCGGTAAGTTTCAATTTCATTATTATGCGGGAATGAGTAAGGCATAAGAAAGTAGCGCCAGTGCGAGCCTCTGCGAAGCAGAGGTGACGCACTGGTTTCTAAATAAGTTTCTTATGCCTTTGCTGAGAACATCTTTGCGAATTCTACAAAAGGAGAACTGTTTGAAGAAGCAATAATCTCCAAAAATCATTCAGCGTCTCGAAATTCCTGCTGCAACCAAGCATGGGGTATTATTTTTCTCTCGTTTACCACGCTCTTTCTGCAAATTTCCCCTCCTCACATAGACATTCAGATACCCCCCCCCCCATCTTTTCTACCCTCTCGAAGAGAATTTGCTCTTCCAGTTCTTCTCAACAATCCATAGAAGATCGTCAGGGAAGTAGAAGAACACCTATCGTTTTGGAAGTAGAAATACACCCACAACAATTGTGTACTACAAAAACACTTTTCTCTCAGAACCAATTCCGACAGCAACGAAATCAATCGTCTAGGAACTTTG